ATGATGACTCTTGAGCTAGATTATTTTTCTCATTCTTTCTGGACTGTTTGTCCTCATAGTTGCCAAGAAAAAAAAAATGCTAACTTGCAGCATGAAAGTAGTATCTCAGCAAAGCACCCTTAAACATCCTGAAACACTGGTGAGAGACTAGCTGCAAGGAGAAACCAAGTACAAGCAGGTAGTTCTCTGCCATGGAGGGCTTTTTAGGCTGGACCTCAGAAGGGGCCTGGAGCTGGTCTGTCAGAGATGGTCAGGCTCCCTGCCTCCAGAACTGAACGCTGGCAGTAATGCAAGAAACATCTGCACAGGGCACAGATCCCCTCTTCAGGGATTTCCTTCCCCAAAATTTTCTATGTTATAAAGCACAGCTCCATTCTGAGTGAATCATCCCAAGTTGCATCTACCATGGCTGCTCAGAAGATGACATAATATCATCCAACAGTTACCTTGTTCAAAGTCTAGACATTTGGACATGCAGACAGCAAACATGATGAGCAAACCTGCCAGCCATCACTCTGAGCATTCAAGCCCTACATGAGGTGATATGGGTGGTGGACTAAGCTTTATTTCCCAGATTCAGAAATAAGTCTCAAATTTTGCTCCCGTGAGCAGGAACGTGACTTGAACAACCAGTCTTTGGCCCCTGCATTAGGCAGCTTTATCCTTTCAGCTGTAAAATCAAAAGGAGCAGGAGTGATGGTGGAAAGCCAGCCAGTTTTTCTGAAAGGTGAAAAGGGAATTCGGGACAAAGAATGTTATTTAATTTCTTTGGCCTCCTTAAGCTGTTGGCTGGTGGTTGAACAGATGTAACTACGTAACATCAGCTGCATGCAATTAAATATATTGCTTGTCTTTGCAGATGTCCGGAAAGATTTCTGTATATACACAACACTGTGTGAGAGGTACAGGACTGCATAGCCACACAAAGACAGTTTTATTGTGTGGCAGGTCATGATAAGTACATGAAAGCTGAAGCACCTCAGACGATACTGGACTCTCTCATGGAATCTGTGTTTGCACTTCATTTCAGCTGTCTTTCAAAGAGGCTGTCATTTAAACTGCCTCAAATATGATGCAGGAAATCAAAACATTAGTCCAAGGATTGCACTATTGAAACAGCATCTGACTCCTCCCAGCTGTGATTACACTTGGTTATTTTGGATGGATCGTATTTCTGCTCCTATTAGAAGCAGAAGGTCATTTCTATCTTGCCTATCACAAAGGACCAAAAGAAGCAGCAACAGCCCTAAAACAAGGGGGGGAAAGTCTGATGCCTCTCTGCTCCCAGCACAACATGCTGTTGTAGAATAGAGGAACATGCACCTCAGAAGGAGACACCAAGTAGCAAAATGCACACCCCTTTCTCCAGATATTCTGAGAAGCTAAAACAAAATGTCATCTATGGCTATGGGATATATGTTAAAGAAGGCAGAGGATGTATCACTGCCATGGTTTGAGCCCAGAGGGATACTGAGCACCACACAGCTGTTCACTCATCCCTTCCCTCCGCCCCAGCACTGGGAAGGAAAAAATTAATCAAAAGGCTCAGGAATCGAGATAAGGATAGGGAGGTGTAGCTCACCCATTACAGTCACAGGCAAGAGACAGGTTTGTTAGGGGAAGAAAAAAAAAAAAAAAAGACATTACTTTAATTCAAACCACTAGAAAAAATGACACTTAACAGACAGAATGGGACAGTGACAAGTGTGACCATATCAAAAAAACATCTCCCCCCAATCATCTCTTCTTCCCAGGCTCAATTTTGTTCCTGATATTTCTACCTCCTACCCCAGCAGCAGAGGGACAGGGAATGGGGTGTGCAGTCAGTCCTGCTGCTTCTTCCTTCAAAGCGGGGAGAAGCACTCTTCTGCATTCTTCCCCCTGCTCCACATGGTGTCCCTCTCTTGGGAGACAGTCCTCCACAAACTTTCTCTGGTGTGAGTCCTCCCCACAGGATGCATTCCTCTCAAGATGCTCAAGCATGGGTCACCTCCACACACTGCACTCCTCCCAGTACTGAACTAAAACAGCAGGGGCTTCTTCTTCCCACAGAGTCCCAGTGGTCCTCCACAGGCCACAGGCAAATCTCTGTTCCTCCAGTGATTTCCAGGGGTGTCAGGGAGGGTGGACCTCCTGTCTCACCACAGGATATTGGGGGGCTCTCTGCTCTGACACACTTCTCCCCCTTCTTCCTCTTTCCGTCCACTGATCTGGGTGTTCACATAGGTGTTCTCCTAATGCCTCCTCACAAGTCCCCCAGCCCACTCTCAGGTTCCCCTTAAATACTTTATTACAGAGGCGTGCCCACCACACTAATTGTCTTGGCCTTGGCTACAGGCAGGTCTGACTTGGAGCTGGGGGAGTTTCAAGAAGCTTCTCACAGGGGTCCACTGCTGTAGCCCTGCCCCAGCTCAAACACAGCACAATCATGAAAAAAGCAGGATGCTTATCTGCTCACTGTGACACCGCTCCATCAGGCAAACATAGCCACAAGTGGGCCTGAACCAGGGCTAAAAAACAAATGCAAAGAGTGGGATTTCCTTGTTCTGAGGGTTAAGTGGTTCAGGTTGCAGCGATATTACTTCAGAAAATCTACGTTTGTCTCTGGTGTAGCTTTGGAGTGAAAAATTACCTTTGTCTAGAAATAACAGGGCTTCCCTGAATGACAGGAAAACACGCATAAGAAGTTAGGACATTGGTTGTCTCATAGGGGTACCAGTTATTTAAAGACTTTATTTCCTGCTCTTATGTCTCCTTCAAGCTCAAAAGCTTAGTATTCCTTTAACTTTCTAGACACGTAGCTATTCTTAGAGTTCTGTCTCTTGGAAAATTGAGGAAACATATCAAAATACTTTTTAAGGGGTAGGTGGTCTCTTGAGGGATGTAGAGGCATTGCTAGTAATTTAACTGGCAGGAGCTTATTTTTCAGAATAAATACGGTCTCTTTTTTCACTACATTTTTTGCTATGATACTTCCACAGCAAAGAACACTGGTCTTCAGCTCCGTGAATGGAGACATGCAAGAATACCAAATGCAGCTATGGCAGTAAATGGGAAAGTGGCATGTTATGCAAGTGTTGTTAAGGCTGCATGTGAGGATCTAACAAGGATGGTCTTGAATCCTTTTGCAAATAAATCGTAATTTTAAAAATCTATTCCTCTATCTTCACCCCAGATTTTGACTGATGTTCCCCACTATTTTGCTGGTGGCATGAAGAAGGCAGAAGGATGTTCTCACACCTCCAAAGACATTTCTCTCTTGTGAAATGATGGCCCACCTACAGAAGCTCAATATCTGTTTCTTGGTCTTTCTCCCCCTGTATTCTGAGGACATTCTATGTTAGTTGTGCAATCAATAAAAAGCATATCTTCAGCAACTAGTAAATCTAGTTTATTAAAACAGGTTTGACAGTTAATGCAATTGCTAACAAAGTTGTAGCATAGTCAATACAAAAAAAAAAAAAAAATCTTCTAGATATCTACATGCAATCTGATAATAGGGTGTGTTTGGATGGGTACAGACAAAAACATGTTAGTGAGATTAGAGTGCAGCTCAGTCAGTTTTTCCATTCCCTTGTAGTATTTAAGATGTACAGTACCTTGTCAGAGGCTGCAACACTGTCACTTGTCCCTGCTTAGGTCTACTCCTGGCAGGGAAAAACCACAGAAAAAGTTTGCCCCCTTCCAATTATTTGTCCTCTATCCCAGCCCTGCACAGGCTACCATCTCAATCGCATTCCGATTGCAAACCAGAGGTAATATTCCCTTCTCCTTCAACAGCATGGGACCAAGCACAGCAGGAGTTCATATGGTCAGCTCTCAGGTATGCCACTGAGTTATTGAAATAAGGATTTGGAGCACGGACTTTTGTGAAGACTTATGATAAAACTCTGTGCTTACATCAAAGGCAGCATAAAGTGACTGAAATAGATTGACTCTGCAATTGAACATAACCCTTAGCTAGTCCAGAAAAATGTGACTTTCCCCGTGATTTGCCAAGTACTTTTCCACCTGACCAGCAATGTTTTCTGCATATTTCAGACAGACCTGAAAATAGCTAGCTGCAGTTATTTTTGTTTGGAGGCAATAATGTTCAGCTTATAGAGTGCTTTCTCCAAATAAGTTTAGAGCACTGAGAAAGTATCTTCACTGACAGAAGCCTTCCTTTGCGTGGATTTCACAGGGAGGGAAGGATTTCAGCATTTTAGCTAGTTTTCATATGAGACAGGCTGTTTTCCTGGAAAATATGACAAACCTTTTTGTCTTTTTTTTTAATTAAAAAATTAGGTTATTAAAAACAAAATCTAAACTTAAAATTTCAGGCAGCCATTTGGTGAGATTTTTCCAAAGTACACATAGGTGTAGCTTCCCATTGCTTTCTAAAACAACCCTCCTTCTCCCCTGCCTCCTGTCTTTCCTCCTGGTTCCTGGTTTAGTGCTTCCCTGTTGCATCGGTGCGCCTTTGATGTCAGGGAGTTCAAAGCAGCTGGAAGTTAATCCTATGAAAAAAGGGACCAGTTTCCACCTTGGAGCAGGCAGGAGTTTACCTGGAGGAAACCACTCCCTAGCTGCCTGTTTGGATCCCTACATGGGAACTGAGTTGCCTAACCTAGCTTTCAGAAAAGCACTGGCAACAGTAAGTGTAAAACAAGTGTTACAATGGCCTTGAAGGAGTCAGCACACACTTGGAAAGCTGCAGGGTGCACCTGAACCCTGCCCTTGCTACCAGCAGCCATCTTACATCGCTCTGTGCTGATGCCGTTCGCTTGAAATCATTATCTCACTTGACAATCAGTAAAATGTTAAGCAAAATAACTTGATGGCCTCCTCAGAGTGGAAAATTTTAAAATGTTAATGTCTTCTGAACAGCCTGACCCTGTACTGGGTACTGTTTGGCTCTCTGCCTGCTTTGTAAGTAAGTCAGCCTCAGCAGTAAGTATCAGTGATGCTTTACATTTCTGTTATGTGCAGACCTTTGGCCCGTGTTGGCAAAGGGAACTGACAGGGTGCTATGAGTCTGTTGAGTATCGCAGCATCTGAACCGTGCATCTCTGCATGCACAGGGATGTGGAGCACAGAGAGACTCAGACACAAACACTGAGGTGGGTAGGTGAGCAGTCTCCCTTCAAGTCACTGGCTGAGTATTGTGAAATTAAATGAATGGGCTCTAGTAGCAAGGTAAACCCCTTTCAACTTGCCCTGGAGAGGATGAACACCAGAAGTGTTCTACCCTGCCAAATAGAATAGGACTAGGGATCACACCCTGCACCTGACCTCTGATCATCTTGCCTCAGTTTTGGCCACCCCCAACAAGTTCTCTCCAAGACACTTTTTGCACCAGAGATGCCTGGCACTGAGCAGCATGGCTGCAGGATGGCTAGAACCACAAAGCCTCTGGACCCAGTCTAGATGTCCCTTTGGGTCTGTATATATCTAATTTTGCAGTTCTGCACGAGCTACCTGCGGTACAGACTTCTGATTCTCGCTTTGAAATTTTCAGCCGCAAAGTAATAGAGGACAGGATCAAGGCAGCTGTTCATGGCAGCAAGGCAGAGAGCAACCACCAGTGCTTTGTGCATGGGCAGGCTGGCCTGGCTGCAGCTGCTGTGCATCAGGTGGGCAGTTCGCAGGATGTGATACGGCAGGAAACAGAGGAGGAAGAGGATGAGAGTGATGATGATGGTGGACAGTGCCTTCTTGTGACAGACTGCCTTCTTGTGCTGTGGAGTCTTGGACTTGAGCAATGCTTTGATTGCAAAGATGTAGCAGACAATAATTGTGCAAAATGGCAGAATGAAGCCCACGATGAGGACAAAGCTGTTCATCATGAGGAGCCTGCGGGTGCTGGAAGGGTGGAGGTCCAAGCACTTGGCTGGGTTGCTGTACCCAGCGATTTCCTTGCTTAACAGAGGGCTGGAGGCTGCCAGCACGAAGACCCATATGGCTGCGCATGTTATCCTGGCATACTTTATGTTGGTTACTTTCCAGTGTTTGAACGGGTAGACGATGGCTATGAAACGAACCACACTGAGCACGGTGAGAAAATAAATGCTGCAGTACATGTTCACGTACAAGGTGTAAGTCATGATCCTGCAGACAATATCACCAAATATCCAACGCGATCCCAACAGGAAATATGAGGCCCGAAAGGGCAAAGTGCTCACAAACATGAGGTCTGAAACAGCCAAGTTCTGCATGTAAATGTTTACTGAGGTCTTCCTCTGTGAAGGCTGGAAGAAAACATAAATGGAGAGGCTATTTCCAACAGCACCCAGGAAGAAGATAAAGAGATACATGATGGGATAAATTACTTGCTTGAAGCTGTCAATCGTACAGTTAAAGGAGCTGTTAGTGAAGTTGTTGTCTAGTGCCATCTTGGAAACATTCATAGTCTAGAGCCAGGCTCTCTGTCTTTCTGTCAAAGTAAAAAGAAGTGGTGTGAGTGCTGGGTTACGGGCCAGGCAGGGAGTTCAGCTATTCAGGACTGTTTTGCTGGGGACAGAGATTTCAAAATGCAGAGGGCAGTGGAAAGTAAGGGTTCATTAATGAGTAATTTCTTATGATGTCCCAGTAAATGCACATCTCAAGGCATAAATCCCCAAGTCATCTCTAAACAGTTTCAGTATTACTGGTTGTTGTCTCAACCTATGAAAGTGCTGCCTTTTAAAGTGCTATGTGTGTGTTTTAATGGCAATTCTCTGATCTTCTCTGTGCAAAACAAGACAACTTGCTGTCAGCCATTTTGTAGCAGGGAAGTTTTAAGTCTCCCATTACCTACCATGGAAACATCAAAACCTGATCAGAAAAAAAATCACTGTCACTGGTAGGTCTGCATTTCAAATTAGGATGAAAACCCCAAGGGCTGAAGTTGTCTTCCAGAACTAGTGAAATTTTTCTGGTTTGTTGTTGGCAGCATGTCACTGAACTTTCCTGAGCAATACCAGAGGTATATTGATATACTAGAGAATGTATAAATTAAGGACATTTTGACCTTAAACACTGTGCAAATACTGTGCTAGGTATGTATGGTTCTTTTTTAACTCTCTCCTCCTTACACAGTATTTCTTCTTCCTTGTAAGTTTCTGATGGCTTTTTATGTCTCTTTTTGTGGGGCCTTGGCTTCATTTACCACTTTCTCAACCTCTTTTGTGCTCAGCTGCTCTGCATCAGTCATCTACACGCACTGCAGCTTCCAGGACAGCCCACGCTTGCAGCCATAATGAAAATGGCCTGTGAGAAAATGGGCTGTGTTCACAGAGAGTGGTATTTTTTCTCCTATGAGGCTATAATTCAATCAAATCAAAACCACTCATCACTAAAACACTCTAAATAATTTTTCTTTTCTCATTAGGGTCTATTTCCTTGATGAACTTCTGATTTCTTCTCTCAGCTGACCTGCAGCTAGGAGTATCTTCAAAGGAAGGTTTCACTATTGTTGCTTGCTTAATAGTGGGAGTAATTCCCTCTTGGCATCTGCCAACATATTCTAAAGGTGGAGCACAGAATATTTTAGCCTAAAACCCAGAAATATATGGCATTTCTAGATGCATGAAAAAGAAGGTTTTGATTTGCTCCAGCAAGAGTGATAACGGGTTGATGGTACATGACTGCATTGTATCTCTTATTCTGGACTTCACTGGCTTCACAATTTGAAATTAATTTATTTGCACAGGTGGAGTGTCCCTAGGGGGCAAAGTTGGCTCTAGGTTTGAGTGCTCTGGACTCCCAGTTACCCAGTGCAGTATTCCAGTGTGCTGTAAACAGGAGCCAATTTCTGAACTCAAGCCATGGTATGGGAACCTGACCTATGTTCAGAGCAGCCCATGGTATCTTCAAGGCGATGTCTCAGAGCTCATGTGGATCCCTTAATATAGCAACCAGATGTGCCCCAGCAGTTGTGTTTTATCTGGCTGCACTGCAACAGGGAGCGTGGGAAGCATAACCCTCAGGCTGGGCTCCCAAGGAGCAGGACTTACCCCCTCCATTGCAAGATGGGAGCGTGGTGGTCTGGGGAAGGGGAACATTTACTCACACCAACGTTATACCATTCTCAGCTGTGCCGGAAATTATCCCTCCAGAAAATAAAGACAATAATATCTATTGCACTTAGAAACGCTGAAGACTGGAGGTGGGCAAATTTGATACTGGGGCTCAGCAAAGTCCCTGACTCAGTAAACACATGCTCCTGAAGGAAATCTCCTCACCTGAGATCCTCTTCCCCTGCAGAGGGGAGAGACAAGGTATACTTCCTAACACAAATATTTTGCAATCAAAGGAGTTTTGAACAGTTTTGATTTTCTGTGCAAAGTGACTGATACATAAGTTTTCTGTCTGGGATCAAGGACCAGCTTTTCTCCTGATTGAAGCTGATGTCCACATTTTCAGGGAAACATTTCAGCCTGAGGTACTGCAAAGGGAGAGACATTTTGCTATGGCTCAAGCATCCTTGCCTTTAGAAACCCCAAACCACAAGAAAATACCTATGCCTGTTGAAACATTCCTGTTTTGTGGGACACCAAACACTGTTCTGTGAAGCCTGTGAGCTAGAGGAGCCAAACAAGAATGAAGAACTTGAAGTGTGGGCAAATTCAAGGCCCTGCTGAGCACCACAACTGATGGTTTGTGGCCTGACAAGATCTGCTAAAGAATGGGATTAGGGTAATGAAAATTCAGCTGATGAAAAGCCCATGGTCCCTGCACCCTGGAAAGAGCACTACAAGCACAAAGGCTGAGGTACTTTGCTCAGGCTCTTCACATGAGGCTATCTAGCTAACTACCATTAAAACTATTTTGTGCTCCTCATTTCTCCAGCCAGTTAAAGACCTTTAGGAAACCAGATGCACATGTGTTATTGAGAAAACTCAGCATTCATGGGCCTGGCAAGAAAAATCCAGTAGTCAGACTCCTCTTCAAGTTATCCAAACAAAACTTTCAAGCTGTTACAGGATGTTTAAGAGAAAGAAGCTGGTTATCTGAAAGCTGTTAACTACCATGGTGCCTGCCCCTCAGTCGAGGGCCAGGAATGACCCATGCAATTATCATATGTAGATGCTCCTACTTAAATGTGGTGTAGAAAGGAAGGTGCAGTGAAAGATACATTTCATACAGGACTATCTCAAGCAACCACAGAGGAGAAGGGGAGAATTGTATTCCTCCTTGAAGCCAAGAGCTGTTCATTAGCCAGCTGTTCATCATCTCCTAGATAAACAGAAAGGATGGTATATGTAAAGAACGGCAAGAAACTTTGCTTTCACCAAGAGCGTTCAGACTGCCTCCTGGGTCAGGAACAAACACAGTGGGTTTTGGCTGAGAGAATAGACCTATAGGGTCCCCCAGAAGGCTTCAGAAGGGAGATTGGTGGCAAGATCTAACAGCCCTCTGAGAAAAATGGACAATCTGAAATGAGAATCTCTCTTAAGTGGTACTGCAAGACTTCTCTGATGGAAACTCCCTAGCAGGAGATATTTTTCTATATATGAGTTTCCCTGATGGAAGCTATCAAGTAGAAGCACCTGATACATGTCCCAAGGCTCTGACAACCACTCTGGCAGGAGAGAGAGAGAGAGCACATCAGCTAAGCAAGAAAAAAGGAGGCTTTTCTGAAATAACTGCTGCATAAGCAGATTAGATGTAGAGTTTGGGTGGGTTTTTTTCTTTTCTTTACCTCTGTGAAGTCTCTTCGAAACACAGCTTGATAAGTATGGTTTTTATAAATAAAAATGTACCCTTTATTACAAATTATGTCTATTTATTATGATGAAATATTTTGCCTTTTATCTTAGCTTGGCTTGAATGTGATTTAAGGTAAGGGGATAACAGAAAGACATTCCTTGCCTAAGGTGAATCTAACACCCTCAACAAATGGGTGCAGAAACCAGGTGGGAAACTGATAGAGCAAAAGTAAGAGGATATTTATTTAATTGGAGGAGATACTAAACTACTAAAAGTGCCCTAAACCTATCAGATTTTAAGCCTAGGATGCAGCTAGCAGTCTAGCAGCAGAGTGGGGGCTATATTGTAAACTGCCCAGTATGCAATGTGTACGGCTGCCTCCCCAGGGTAGGTTTTGTGCTTGTGTGTGCACGGCAAGGGGCTGGGGGTGTGGAGGGACAAGACTGGCTGTCTCCAGGGGGCAGAAGCAGGTCTGCCCAGGTGGCAGACCTCGTGATATGTCTGTGCAGATTTCTGTGGGGTGCAGAAGAGGAGCCAGTGGTGGCTGTGGTCATTGTGGTCACCAGGGATGAAGGTAGGATCTTCGGGGCTCAGCTACAAGGCAAGAGAGAAGCTCAGGTCAGTGCATGCATGAGGTAGTAGAGAGGAGAAATGTAGGTATGTAAGGAACTGAGGCATCTTTTGGGATAAAGGCAAGCGATACAGAAATGAGAGATTGAACTGTACCCAGAGTGGAGCCAGGCTGCTGGCACTGCAGAATGAAAGCTTTGCAGAGGAGTATTTAATTAGAAGCAACAGGGGAGCTGATGGGCATGGGAGAGCAAGTGGGCTGGACTGATGAGACCTGAGAGGGCATTGAACTGACATCCAATGCACCTCTGACAAGGCCAGGAGGGAAATAAAGCCCAGCTGCAATAACTAGAGAAGGCAAATCCAGCTGCCCACAAATCAGTTAGCTGTCACATGTTATCTTGAGTGACTGATCAAAAGGAAATCTTACATGTAATTCTGCACCAATGCTCAAAGCCCAAAATGAGACGAGGGAGCTGGAAGGCTTGGCTTGAGGCAGCAACCCTAGTACAAGGGGAACCTCAGAGACCTGCTGGAGAGAGAATAATCAACAGAAGACTGTGTTGCCATGCTACCAGCTTTACGGTAATGATAATGTGGGATGCACAGGTGGAGGAGTGGCACTGTGCATGAAGGACTATGTAACTTGCAGCAGCATAAAAATACCATGGCTAAAGAGAAGCACTACAGAGTTCTTGTAGGCAGAAATCCCATACTCTAATAATAAAAAATATAGTACTAGGAATGCACTATCGAACTGCTCATCATGTTGATGACATCAGAAAATGTTAAGTGAGAGCAGGAAGCTGAAAGCAGGTAGCAATAGCAGGAGATTTTGGGTGCCTTTACAAAGATGCGATGCTGCAGACCAATGAGATATAATGTCCCATATGCAACAAATGGCTGATTCGTAGAATAATTAGTTCTGCAGACAAATCCACAACACAAGATGCTATTTTACATTTGATCTTTAGTGCTGCACAGGTCCTGATTCAAGCAGGTTTTGATGAAGGGAGCTCTGTACTAGCAATCACAGTAAGGCTACGATTGGCAGTGTTGTGGGACAGAGAAGCAGTCCCAGAAGGAAGAAGCCTACATAATTTTGGGGGCTGTTTAAAAAAACAAACATAAATTTCAATAAAACATGTGTTAGAAGCCTACATTCCAAAAGAAATAGACATTTTAATAAATATTGAGCCTGATGTCTATCAGTAGAATAATTAGCAAGACTATGATAGGGAAAAGATCACCATTTAGAAAGCAGAAGTCTTGTCCAAATAGGGAGAACAGGAGCCTGTATTATGACAGATCAAATATGGAGAGAAACTAAGAGCATTAACAAAAAAAACAACCAAACAAAAAAAAAGTGAAAAGCACCTGGTGAAGGATGCTCAGGCTGACAGTAAATTTTGTAAACCCACTGAAAGATGAAAGACGACCAGGAAACTGACAGGGTTGCTTGGCGGCAAAAGATCTCTTAGGGACAGCAAGGCCATAGCAGAGAAACTCAGTGAGTTCACTCTTCCCCACCAAACATGTTGGGGTATTTTCGTGCCTGATGCAGCAAACAGCTCAAAGGAGCCAGCTCCACTCAAGGGATCTGTGCAGGAAATATTAAACTGACCAGATAAGTGGGAAACCAGTAAGTAATCAGGACCAGATGGCATTCATATGAGTATCCCAAAGGATCTCAGATGTGAGACTGGCAGCCAAGGCACGTAACCCACCATTACAATCAGGCGTTGTGCCAGGGGACTGGCTGGGCTACATGAGAGCCTTGGGAGGGCAGCTCGAGTGCCATGAGTCAGTCTCAGTGCTGGGAGCTACTGACCGCTGAGACTGATTTCCACCTCTGGTATGTTGTGGGGGGTCTGTAATAAAGAATGAAGGTGCTGAGCTTGTGGAAACACCAGTCTGCTGAGAAAGAGTCAGCACATCTTCTGAACACAGTGATCCTGCCCTACTCACCTGCTGAAGGGCTGTGAAGATGATGGATGAAGGGGGCCCAGTAGTCATTTGATATGTATATATGGATATGTATGTATTTATACATTTGCATTTGTGAAAGCCTTTGACAAAGCTCTGTACCAAGGGTTTCTGATGGAACTAAGCTGCCAGAGAGCTGTAAGGCATGTCCTTTTATGGACTGAAAGCTGGCTGAAGGGTAAGAAGCAAATTGTGGGCTTAATGAATCAGCAGTGGTGTCCTCTAGGATTTATTCAATATCTTTATTAATAACCTGGAGAAGGCAGTTATCTGGGTTAACAGATGCCATACTGAAAGAGTGGTAGATAAGTGTTAGTGTATTTTAATGTGAACTGATGCATGCTGAAAAAAATAATCTAAACCTGCATGATACAAACTTGAAACTGGCTGAACAGGGAATTAGGCATTGGCATCACTGACCATTTACGGAAGTAATCTCTGCATTGGATGCAGCAGCAAAAGCAACCAAAAATGTCAGCAAAATGAAGGGCATCATCAAGAAGGCTATGGAGAGCAAAGCATGTTACCACCTTGTATAAAATCTTCATGCATCTGGTCTCTACACCCAAATAAAAGAGATTATAGAGAAGGTGCAGAGAGGGGCAAGTGAAATGATCGGGGAGGCAGAGCAAGAACTAAAAATCTTGAGACTCTCCAGTATGAATAGGAGGAGGCTGAAGAAGGATGTGGTCAAGTTTTAGAGTCACGAAGGTGTTGGATGGTGCGAATATGCACTGTTATTCACAGGGTTCTGCAGTACTGGGACTTGGAGTGCTCACCAGAGTTTTTGAGTCTTCTTTCAAACAGATAAAAGAGGCTGCTCCTCCATGAAGCGAGGAGCGGGCGGTGCTGGGAGCTTGCTGCCACAGCAGGCAGTGCAGGCAGGTGGCTCAACAGTGTCAAAGCAGGATCGAGCAAATGAGAGGGCAGTAAATGGGAAACAAAAGTCTGGGCAGGGATGTAATCCCCAGAACTCATGGACAGCAGTCAGGAAGCTGGGGAAATGCAAGGGGAAAGCGCTTTGGAAGGTGATCAGGCTCTCATGTTGTGCCTAACCAGTGTCTCCTGTTGCCACCATCGGAGATTGAATACTGGTCTAGATGGACATTGGTCTGAGCTGTCAGCACATTTCTCACAGTTCACAATATGCTTCTCGTTCCTGGCAATGTAACAACCACAGTTGACTTCACTGTGTTACCCCTAGTTCCTCCTGGTGAAGTGAGACCAAAGCCTGATTCCACCCTCTATGTCAAAAAGCTATTACTGGGGAAGTGGCAACAGTCGGCAGCCCTGGGCTGCCCTCAGATCTAGTGGAGGGTAGTCAGTCAAGTCATCCAGCAGCTCAGCAGACAACAGGATCGGTTTCTATGCCATGCGTGGACAGAAGGACAGGCTCCTTTTGAAGAGGTGTGGTAGAGAGGTGCTGCTGCTAAAGGTATAAATATGAAACCTCCACTGTCGCCTCTAAAGGTGTAAATATGAAACCCTCCATTTCCAAACTTGGACCTGCTGCTCTGAAGCACTGCATTCACTATTACATGAGGAACTACCAAAGAACCTATTTTCAATAAGGTGTTCTGCACATACAAAGTTAAATAGGGAAATTAGGCTGTTCATGCAAAATACAGTTCTTTGCTGTGTTAAGTGATAAATATATAGATCCTTTTGTATGCCAGGAAAAAGACATGCTCTCTGCATCTATCACAATAACCCTTTGTCTTAAGAAGACCTCAGACACTACCATCTCATGTCATTAGCCAAATAGGAAGCCAGTTATGATATCGCTGCTATACAGGAGACCACTTGCATTTGCCACTGCGCTTCCAAGAAAACCAGAAGTTCTCATGTTTTTTTTTAAAGTTCCCACTGGCTTTCTTACTAGCATTCACTTTGTGTTTTAGCAGCAGCACTGCCAAGAATAAATGTAACAAAATGTAAAACTTAGAATTAACACTAAATTCAGCAAAACATGGCATTTTATTAACCCTTCTATATGCACAATAATTACCAAAAAAAAAAAGTCTGACTTTTAACACCTTTTATTTTAAAAGTTTCCCATAAACCTAATATATATTTTTCATTTAGTTAAAAAATTAGATTCATTTAATCAGATCCACAATTTGATATCTTCCATCTGGCCAACTTTCCTAGTTACATAAATCCACCCTTTTTTCTGCCAAAAATATTCTCAAGACCAGCTTTGTCATAGACAAAGTTTAGTCAGTGATCACAGCTTCTGGCAAATAAAAAGCTTACTGCCAGTAATAAGAAATATAAGTAGTTTGTATTTTAATCATTGCAACATCAGAAAAAAAGCAGACAAATCTTGTCCTACCTCAGCTCTTGTGCCTTCTGGTGTGTTTGGTATTTCCTTCTTCTGCTTGCTGTTGCTCACAACTTTCAGTTTTGATAGTGGAAAGGAAAAACACAAAACCTTGATACAAAACCCAAGTGCTATTTATGCAGAAGTCACAGAAAAGCAATGAGCAGTAGGAAAGGGAAGTAAATCCTGATTAAAAGATCTTACATCTTGTTAAGAGAGAAATGTTCTCAGCTCAAGGAGTGGTGCTAGGAATCACATGGCAATCTTTCATAATTTTCACCCAATGAAAGAGGCTCTGCAGCTACGTGGCATGTTGGGAAGCTTTCTGGATTCCTGTATTTGGGCCCACACTTCTATATATGTGCTTTCAATAATCAGGATTCCTCAGAATATTAGAGGAGATCCCTGTATAAGATTCACATGGACAGTTAGTGATTTAGTTATGGGAATTATGAAGAGAACACATTCTGGGGTCATTTCCCAGGCTTTTCATGCATAAATCACAGGAAAAACAAAACTCTAATCAGGCTGCTAGGAATTGGTGCATAATCTTGTTCAGCTCATAGTTTGAGTCTGAGTTTACAGAGCTGAGGGACTAATTTTCCTTTCATTTTGATAGGAACAGAATACATATCTGTTAGGCCATGAACAAGTGGCTGCAGTGAATGCCTTACTCCCTCTTAATGTTTTACCACCTCTCAGTGGAGCAATGTTTGACTGCACAGATGGGTGCTCTGAGTCTGTTGCAATTGTGAAATAGGTACCTGTACATACTATAGGTATAGCAGCTGGTTATTCCTCTTCTATGCTGTCAGCACATGCAGGTGGCCCAGACACATTCAAATGCTTTCTGGCTGCTGTGTTGTATTTCATATCAGCAGCAGGTGAGGAGTCCACAAATGGCTGCTTACACAGCTCAGTGGATGGGGACTCTCCCAAAAACCCTTCTCGCCACCCACAATTATAGTTGTCTATGCCCAAAAGTGCTTCAGATAATGACTAATCTCTCCTCCATTGCCCACTTGTGCTTGATTCTCATTTATTGTTCTTCACTCTGGTTGTACACGTGGACTTGACAACAGGCAAAATAGTCCTCTGGTTATGCTCCCCATACAGGCTCATGATGGCAACATGCAGTGGCTGCAAAGAATTGTGTCACTGGAGCCCACAAATCCCTATGTCCGTGGAGGAGGTATGTACAGCTTGCAAGAAGCTCTGTAGGTGTTTTTGTTTAGCATGGTGCTAAAAAAAGACATAGAAAACCAGCTTAGCTAGGAACTAGTCTAACACCTTCGGTCTCTGGGGTAAGCACAAAATCCATGACTGGTGTTTTGAACATTTGCCTACATTTGCATTCATAGAGCAAAGTAAGCTTAAAAAGTTCCCCAATAGAGATCCACATCAAGTGAATTTTCAAGGTGCAGATGATGGTGAATTAGGACCCTCCTGAGATACAGGTGCCTAATTTAGGCTTTGCCACGTCCTGTGGCACCTAAGTTTGTGGATAGCTGTGGATGCACTGGGCACTTTGGTTACCATCCCAGCTGTTTCCTCATCTACCAAGGTCTGCCTGCAGAGTGTCTCACGTGCACTCCCGAACCCCATTCAGTCATTGAGGCAGGTACTGTAGACACCTGAAACAGAAGATCTCTGCTCACCCAGCACATATGGACTGAAGGAGGGTAGAAATGACCCTGTGGGCAGCTTGGTGGGCAGATTTCAGGGGCAGAGCCCTTTAGGAGGGAGCGGTGACCTTTGTGAACTTCCCTTTGGGAAGGAGCACAGGGTGCAACCACTTCAGCCATGGCCAGAGGACAGCTACGGCCTTGGCATTTGCTCAGGAGATGCCCCAGTAACTCAGACTGCATCTTATCTGCAACTGACAGAGACTAATTTTGGCATTGCGGTAGCAGTCTGATGACATCTCCATCACATGACATGTGGTGATAATCACTCTGGAAATGATAGGCAGGCTGTTCTCAGATACACAAGGTCAGAGACCAAAACATGCAGAAAAGTTAGACATTGATCACATTTTATTTTCCTGAGAACATCTCTTTCACCTTATGATACAGTTATTTTCATTGCCTAGATAGTTTCTCACATTCACCTTCTTATATGCCTTGCTTTTTGGAGAGTAGTTTCCTCCCTTTCATAACGTAATTCTGTATTTTACTTTTAGTCTGGCTTTGAATAAATGAGGTTGGCTGCCAACTCACCCTGCATCTGACGAGCTAGATCCGGAGTGACTGCTTGGGATTTTTTAGAAACAGTAACTGGATGACTCAGCTTCCGAGGGGAGTTTATTACATTTCTTACTAATAAAAACTTCAGTAATTCTAGAGAAGACATCTCAGAATATCATGAAGAATCAAAGACTTTCATCACAAGATGCTGCGTGTATATGGCATATTCAACAGTTAAGAGCCTAGATCACTTCTGAATTTTGAGTCCCATAAAATGCATAGATGATCGAGGACACAGCAGAGTGCAAACCACCCCTCTGGGCCACAGCTACTCTCCGTCCTGTCTCCGTTTCTGTTCCCTTTTGCACTTCTGCCTCCGTTACAGCCCAGTTTCAAGACAGAAGAGCAGGAGGGGTTGACTCATCCTTTTTCTTCCCCTTCTTCACAAACCCACCTGTGCAGGGGCACAGCCCATGAAGGAGGGCTTCAGCCCACGGCAGGGAGCAAAGCCACCATTTCATGTTCCAAATGCATGAAGAAGCCAACCTTCAGACCTCAAATAAGCACTCCAGGCCGGATAGAAGCAAAAAATTTAGGCTCTTCTTCCCCTGTTCAGATTTTCCTACAGGTTTGTTCAAGTGTCCTTATGACTTCAGCACTACATTGTATGAGTGCCAGTCAAGGAACCTATCTCCCACGCTCCTTGTACAGGGCACCTTGGACATCCCAAACACACGTCATGCTATTATGTGCTCCACAGGGCTAGTCCTCCCCACACAGCAGTACTGTGTCACTCTAAAGTCAGGTGAGCTGCTGCCTGAGGATGGCCCATTGTCTGGTGCATCCTTCCATCATTGCAGTCTCACTGGGCAGGTTGTCGTCTGCTTCATATCTCAGCAGAGGAGGCTGAGAACTGCCTGAAACCGAACCGGGTCTTGATGCATATGCACAGCCCAACAGACTTGTGCAAGCTCATCAGCTCATGGGACATGGATGCATTTGCACACCACCTCGGGTAGCTCGGCAGCCTCACAGCTGCGGGGACTGTGCATGGGAGACATGTAATCCCCAGCACTAGGGGAGCTGGGCTGAGACATCAAATGTCCTAGGCAAGCCAGATGAATGAGTCTTCATATTTTTCCTGTTGTTCAGACAATGTTTTGCTGTCTGCAGGCATGAGCTTCCAGTGGCAGAGTTTCACTTTTTTCATGCCAAGAGATTTTTGGTAAAAATGGATCTGTCAAACAAACAGAAGGGATTACCTCCATTGAAGATTTTAGCACTGCATGTCTTCAGCATGGCAGTTTAGCCTACTAACACATATCTATTTCCAGAGACTAAAATTACAAAGCCTACATTCATTTCAGTGCAATCCAGAAAAAAACAGCATCCAATGATAGCAGCTCATCTGCTGTCAGCCATAAGGCTGGATAGATGGGAAGATGAAAGTGACTGCTGCATGAAGAAAGGGGAATAAGTAGGGACAATTTTAATAGAAATTATTCAGAAAGGAAAAGCACAGAAGGTTTTCAAGATGTTTCTTTTGCAACATTAGTAATGACATCTTTTTTAATTGCCTGGGATCCTTTCTTAATTGTTTGCTGTTCCTCATTAATAGACTGATGAGGGCAGAGGAACATTAATATATAGCTGGAACAGAAAAAGACATCTGATGTCTTTATGTAAAATAAACTGCTCTTTTTTAAGTATTAAGAACTAAAACTGGAAATGTTTTTTGCCAGCCCCTCCAAAGGTGGCTGTGGGCCTTGGGAAGAATTGATTGTCTCCAAAAGCTGTGGAACCAATGGCAGCTGGGAGCATTAATGCTCTTCCTTGAGAACAATCGATCCAATCCTCAACTCTGAAAAGACTGAACCAGAGCAGGACAAAACACCAAACACTGTGTAAGGCCTTCATCTAAAGCCCATTGAAGTAATTGGAAAGAATAGTGCCTTTTTGGATTAAAACCTAAATAAGAGTCTCAGAAACTCTGACTGGGGGGAAAAAAAAAAAAACCACCTTTTTTTTTTTTTTTTTTTCCTTTCTCTTCAGCTAGCTAAACGAATTTCAGATCTAACATGTGCAAGGTTGTCAGTGTGCCAGGTATCTCCTATTTTCTCTGTGTAGCATACCTTTCAAAATATCTCTCTCTCTACTTCTGCATCCATTTCTCTACCTAGCACTAACCACCACGATGCTGAAGTCACTTTCTGCTTGCATTATGCATTTTGAATAATTGCACAGTCTGCAATTGCAACCTTTATTATTTCTGGTTTGTCAGACATTAGAGCATTGCAAATTGATGGGATTATGAAAATGCAGAGTCTGAAGGATTTGGCAACAAATCTAATTATCTCTATTTTAAGATCTGGTCTCCTAAAGACTTATCATTTGTATATGTTGGCATATGTATGCAATTCTACAGTTCCCTGTGCACACAGAGCTGTGTTTTGGACTGTATTTATCCCATATTGAATGTCCTGCAAATTCTGTGTTATTCTGCTGAACTCTCCCTTCATACAAATATAGAAACTTGAAGCAAAACAAGTTTCCTTTCTTCTCTTTTTGCTGACTCTTTTACAATATCCCTGACTCAAAGCTGGATAAAAAAACCCAACAATGTTCCAAAATCAGAATGACAAGATTTAGGTGCTCTGCATCTTCTATTTTATGGCTATACACGTAAGATACAATCTGCAAGTCCTCTCACACAAACTCCAACTATCACAAAATCTACTTTCTTATCAATGTAATCATTGCTATTACTTAGCTAAAACATTATCACAATGTTCCTTGCTGCAGCTTCATTCCCCAACCCCAGCATCTTCATGCAGTTCTCTTCTTTTTTACTGTAGTCTCTTTGCTTTCTTATCCACTGCAT